CTAGCAACTATAGACAACTAACCTAGCAACTATAGAGAACTAACCTAGACATAAAAAGGCAAAATGCTCTCCCTTCTCTCTAGGTTTCTCTCTCTACAATCTTGCCCTCCCTCGTCGCCGTTCACCGCTTAGTCATGTCTCCGACAACCTTCCCGGCGTCGCAGCCCCTCACGGCGCCGGAACATCCTCCACACACAGACCATACAACGACAACAACAAACCCTCAAGCGATCAATTCAAACCCACCTGCTATCTTCTCAGAACCGGACTACACCATTAATATTCTCAACCCAGTCGATGAACAAGCTCAGGTCCTACCTCCTCAAACTCTATTTCCCGAATCAATCGCAGCAAATAATATTGTTGGTATTATTGCAAGTCACTGCCCAGAGTTACAACAGGATCTGGCCACCGTCCAAATCTCAAATTCTCAGACCCTGCAACAATCGACTCCTCGTGAGTTAATATCGAAATTTCAATTCGGATCTCTTCCGGCATCTTCTCAGCAAGATCTTTTCTTCACGCCGGTGATAGCAGGAAATCAGTCGTTGCAATCTTATCCGATATCCGATGACGGCGTTGACCCGCTCCCTCAGCTCCATAGTCAGATGGAAAGGGTTTTCCCTCAGCTCCAATCCCAAGTGAATGGGCCGGATCTTTCCAGGTCAGTTCCGGGTCTATTACCTATTGGGTCTTCTGATAGCCCACCTACATCTTTAAATCCTCATACCAAATCCCACAACCCAACACCATTTATCCAGCAACAGCCCACCAACATCACAACATTTCAACAGCCCGATTCTCACCTTGGGCCTTTTCCATCAATTAACAGCGGCCTAACCCAGGCCTTATTAACTTCAAATGGACCAACCTCCCCCCTTAGCCCAAAAACCCAACACCTACAGCCCGCCCCACTTTTTGGGCCACACAACAAATCCCACAACCCAACACCATTTATCCAGCAACAGCCCACCAACATCACAACATTTCAACAGCCCGATTCTCACCTTGGGCCTTTTCCAACAATTAACAGCGGCCTAACCCAGGCCTTCTTAACCAAGACGGGTCACCCAATCCCGACTGCCGGCGGGACATCTGCTCCGGCGGGAACTTCCACCACGGCCACCCTCGACTCAGCAGCACCCCCTCCGGGCCATTTCATCCCCCAACCGGATATCGCCGGCGGCCACCTAACCCATGCCGGCAACGACGTCAATGCTCCCGGACATTCCTCTAACCGGACACTGCCGGGCACGGACAGCCCCGCCACAGCAGGTCCGCCACCGGACCCACGCCCGCTCTCTTTCCGGGAGGCGGTTACGGGAAAAAGAAATGTTGACATGACCAACAACCGCGCAAAACCGAAAGACTACCCTTTTGACGGGAATTACGAACATGCTTGTGGTACCATTTCCCGTTCGGAGGACAACAAAGTGAAGGCCCGTTTCACTG